GGAATAACCATCTCATGACTTTAGTAAAAATGATACATGTTCATTAAGATAAAATGATAATCCTGGGTTACAAGATGGTCCCCTCCCTCATGTCCGCTCTCTGTGAGCCTTCTTGAATTTAAGTACAATCCTGAACAGACACGGTGCATGGGGATCCTCAGTTGACTAAGGGGCCCTAGAAAATAAAGAAACTTATATTTCTGGCACACTTGAGTTATGTGCTGAGATTTGTAACATTTACAGATATTAATATATGTCCTAGAGAAGGTGTCCCTTCTCTCTTGTGGTCCCCTGAGCACAAATCACCTTTCACAATTCATGATTCTTTTTTTTCTTCTCCAGGCCAAAACCCAATAAACAAAACCCAGAAAAACAAAAGGGGTGGGGCTAGCTCTCTGCAGGGTGCTGTGGAGGTGGAGCAGGGGACAGAGCTCGCCCTCTGGAATCTCAGCTCCTGCTGCTGAGAGTCAAGGCTCCGCCATGTCCCCTGTGGAGCTATGACCACAGCAGTCTCAGGGGGTTTTGCCATCACTTTGAAATGGTGTGAAGTTTCTTGCTTTGTCAGAACCCTAGCTGAGGGGAAATTGAAGGTGTATTGTGGAAACTTCCATTGGAGGCTCTGGGTGGTCACAGGAAATGACAAGTTTGCAGGGACTCTGTGGTTACTTTAAGGAAATTTGCTTTGGATTTTTATTTCTAAATTCTCTGTAGAATTCACCAGGTCTAAAGCAGGTGCCTGTTTTGGACTCTGCTCTGCATACAGGTTCATCTGACAGGATATTTTCCTCATTAATTTGAAATTTGCCAGCTGCAAATTTTATCAGTGAAAACTCAATTCTAATCTTGGATATAGATATAGAAAACGTGGCTTTAAATTATGGCCTTAGATTATGATGACATATAAAATACTAGCGAGTATGAATCAGAATCTTTAAGAGCAAATTTTAGAAATGAAGCAGTAAATCTGTCTGTAATAATAAGTTAACCAACCAGAAAATAAAAGCACATGCTGTAGTTTGTAGACCAGTGTCCTGTCACAACAATTTTGGAACAACATTTGGTTCATGTTCTGTCACATTCTTAAGAGTAGTTGTGCAATTGCCTCCAAGCTGTTGGCTGTATTAGACAAACTTTAAGTTAGTGTCCTTTACTGGGTTAAAGGAATCTATTTTTATGTGGTGGTGGTTGGTGATGAGGTAATATTTTTTTCTAAACAAACTTTTGTTTTTGTCTTTTGAAGGTTTTAAAGAATTAAGCTTTAAAACTATGCGACTCTCTCTGAGTGCAAGGGGGCTCACTTTCACCTGTAGCACAAAGTGGAGGTTCAGAGCACAGACTCGGAGCCAGGCTGCCGGGCTCTGCCTCCTGGCTCTGTCACTTGCTGGTTGTGTGATGCTGGCCAAGTTACCTGCCCTCTCTGTGCATCATTTTCTAATCTGTAAAATGAGAATAATAGAGCTGTTCTAAGGATTTAATGAGTTAACATTTTATAAAGTGCGAAGCATGTGCTAAGTACTATATTAGGATTTGTTTAAAAAGAGAAACAAAACAAAATGAGTTTTCTAATGATGTGGTCTTCCAGAAAATTGAGGTGTTTGGTTCTATAAGGAACCCGGGTAAAGACGGTATATGGCATTAGTGACATAAATGAGTTATTACGAATTTGTTCAGTTTTCTGCTAATCAGCAGAATCTGGAGACATGCCACTAAAATATGAGTCATTGTAAACATGTGGGTCCACACCTATAGGAGGGGCGGTTCCTTTTGAGAAACACAGCCTCACTAAATCACTGAGACTCTCTGCTGTCAAAGGCTTTTTTTTTTTTTTTTTTTTTTGAGACAAGGTCGCCCAGGATGGAGTGCAGTGTTGCAACCATAACTCACTGCAGCCTCGAATTCTTGGGCTTAAGTGATGCTCCTGCCTCAGCCTCCCAAAGTGCTAGGATTACAGACACGAGCCACCTTGCCCAGACTGCTGTCAATCATTTTTTATGCAAGTGAGATAAAACACAACTCTTTATTTCACCTTCCTGCTTACAATTCTCTTTGAAAAAATTCAGAAATGTCTAAGACATCACCAAAAGAAAGCTGGTTTCTTACGGTAACAGATACTGTAACTTGAAAGCAGTCCTAGATCATAAGAAACCAATGAAAGGAGAGGATCCATCCCCTTAGAAATCAGTTAATATTGCTGTTAATATAAGGCAGGGGAACTCGTTTTTAGAGCTTTGCTTGGGAACCAAGAATTTAAGTTTATTTTAAATTCTTGCTCTGGGCTTTGGGTATCTGGGTTTCTGCTAATACTATGACATTGAATAATAGCATGAAGATTTAAAGAAGAGCTGGGTGCCGTGGCTCATGCCTGTAATCTTAGAGACTTGGGAAGCTGAGGCAGGAGGATCACTTGAGGCCTGGAGTTGGAGATCAGCCAGGGCAACATAATGAGACCCTGTCCCCTGTCACTAAAAAAATGTAAAAAATTGTCTGGGCATGGTGGCATTTGTCTATAGTCCTGGTTATGTGAGAGGCTGAGTCAGGAGGATGGCTTGAGCCAAGGAGTTGGAGGTTGCAATGAGCTATGGTCACACCACTGCACTCCAGTCTGAGCGACAGAATGAGACCTTATCTTTAAAAAAATAAAAAAAGATTTTAAAGAGGAGATACTTCTATAGACATTGTTAGTTTTGTAAAAACTGATAAAATTTCGTGTGTTTTTCCAAATCAACTACCAAAACTAAATAGCTCTAAATTAAAACACCAAAACCCCAAAACCAAACACCCTTTAATCTTGCCTAAAGCTTTTGGGTGACAGATGGTAGAGCCTGGTAGTTGAGGACTTGGGCTTCAAGCTAGGTGGAAAGGTTTGAATCCTGGCCACCTTATTTGCTAGCTATACTAGGTTGGCAAGTTATAAGGCCTCAATTTGTGAATAGGCTTGTATATAGGAATCATTTGTATATGGCCTTAGAGGGCTATGAGAAGTGCTCATATGTGTAGAGTGTTTAGTCCCCTGCCTGGCATGGAGAAATTTTTCAACAGATGTTGATGAACTATTGTGAATCTGGTTCCATGGAGAACAGTTGCTTCATCATCATCATTATTATTTTTTTGAGACAGAGTCTTTCTTTGTCGCCTGGGCTAGAGTGATCATCTTAGCTCACTGCAACCTCAAACTCCTGGGCTCAAGCGATCCTCCTGCCTCAGCCTCCAGGTAGCTGGGATTACAGGTGAGGGCCACCATGCCTGGCTAATTTTTCTATTTTTTGTAGAGTTGGGGTCTCATTTGTGCTCAGGCTGGTCTCAAACTCCTGGCTTCAAGTGATCCTCCAGCCTTGGCCTCCCCAAATGCTAGGATTATAGGCATGAGCCACCACACCCAACCTTTCATCACTCTTTAAAGACAAGATACTGTCAAACTGGGCATGGTGATGTGTGTCCGTAGTTCTAGTTACTCTAGAGGCTGAGGTGGGGGGGCGGGGAATCCCTTGAGCCCAGGAGTTTGAGGCCAGCTAGGACAAAATAGCAAGGCCTCTTCTCAAAAAAAAAAAAAGACACTCCTAAATTATTTGGTTCCTCTCTATTTTTCTACCATTCCATTTTATTTAGAAAACTTCCATATGATTGATGCATTTAAATGTGGGATTAAATATTCACACCTAGTTCAAGTGTTCATGTCTGCACTTGAAACTAAAACTTGATAACTCGAGGCATGAGTACTATGTAATTTGAGTCTAGAAGAAATCTTAAGGTCCTAAAGTAAGAGACACTGTATAAATGTTGAGGCTAACTCCACCAGACTGTTTATTCCTTCAAAGCATTATGCCTATTTGTATTCTGAATGCCCTGCTCAAGTCTCTCATTCAGTTGGTGGTCAATAAATACCGGGGAAAAAAGGAATGATTCATTAGGTTTTTGCAGTAATTCAAGTGATCAATGACATTTGACCTTTGTGAACAAATCTCCCATTGGATGGATTCTCTATGCATGGGTATAAGAGAAAGGATAAGAAATAGTCCCTGTTCTGTCAAAGTAGGGAACACTAATAACTTCCCAAATAATAATATAAGTCATACTATAAGAATTCTCCCCATTCTACTCGCCAACATACGAAAAGGCCCAGACCTTTAGAACTGGAAGGCCAACCCCTTCATTTTAAAGAGAAAACCGAGCCTTGAAGAGTTTAAGCAGTTTGTGCAAGATCCCACAGTTAAGACTGGAAGTCTGGAGTCTGAAACCCCAGTCAGTTCACGGTCATTTCACCTGCCTGCCTGTGAGACAGTGCCCTACTATTTAAGTATATCTTTTAATAGAAAAACGGGATGTAAAGAGGAGTATCAAAGTCGTCTGATTTCTGCATTCAACTCTTGCAGGGGACAGTTGGCAGGCACGTGTGCGCAGGACGTTGCACTGCCAACACTGTCATTATATCACGCCAACCTCCGGGTAACGCCAGTAATGCTGACCTAGCTCCATTATTTGTGTTAATTTATTTAGCTAGCAGGGGAAACGCCTGGGTAATGCACTCTCAGCCGCTAGAAAGGAAGAGGCAAGACTCCGCCGGCGGCGCCCACCATCAGAGCGTGATAACAAGCGGGCTTGGAGGCTGGGAAAAAAACTAACAGGGACAGAATGAGAGTGCGCGGGGGGCTGTGCCGGGGAGTAGGCAAGAGGGTGCGATCGGATTATTTGAGGTTTCAGAATTTTTACAGCGAGACAGAGGACCCAGATAAAAACCCAACCCTGCCAGAGAGCCCTGGAAAGTTTGAAGGACCCACTTTGAAGGAGAGAGTCCCTGCAGCTCGCGCTTCCCCTGGGACAGGGGCCCCCACCCGCCACCCCAACCTGGGCGCGCTGAGCCCGGGCGCGCCCCTTCTCCCCTTGCCTCCTCGGCCCGAAGGGAAACGCAGGCGGGAGCCGCGCTCCGGGCTCATCCATCAGCGGGGGAGGCCGAGGGGGAGGAGAGAGGAGGCGGGAGCGGGAGGAGGAGTTTCTGGGCGGCCGAGAGCCCCCCGGTGGGGACGGCCGAGGAGCGCGCCCTTCCCCCCGCGCGCTGATTGCTGTGGCGCCCTGCCCGACCCCGCCCGCGCGTGTGCGAGCTGGGGCCAGCGCGCCGGGTCGGCCCGATGGGGTAATCGAGGGTTTCGGGGACGCCGAGCGGCACTTTCCTCCTCCCAGCGAGTGAGGGAGGGACGTCTGCGCTCTCCGCCCGGCCGCTTTCTCCGCGCGATCCCCCGAGCTCCCTGCAGGAGGTGAAAGTCCCCGGCGGGTCCGGATGGCGTAGTTGCGCCGCGGCGCAGCAGCTGCCGAGCTCGCGGCCGCCGAGCGCTGGGCGGGGAAACTTTGCTCTGCCGTCCTCCGGCTTGCCGCGAGTGGGTCTCCGCTTGACACGCCGCCTCCGAGGTACGTGCTGGCCGGCCCCGCGGCGCTGCAGCCCGCGCCCGGCCGCTCCGCCCGCTCCGCGCCCGCTCAGCGCCCGCGCGGGCCGCGGGGCTCGTGCAGGCTTCGCGGCGCCCGCAGTGCCGCGCGCTGTCCGCGCCTGCTTCCCGGCCGGGACCGCTCCGGCCGCGCGGCCCTCCGGGCGTGGGAGGGCGGCGCCGGCCGGGCGGTGTTTACGCACGGAGGAGCGGGGACCTGTGGCAGGAGGTGCGCGGGGCGCGGCCGCCCGGGATGGCCAGTGCTCTGGGCGATGCTCTGCGCCCGGGGGGACTTCTCCACGCCCGCCCTTGCTCTTCCTCTCCGCGGTTCCTTCTGACCCCCGCGGGGCGCGCCGGCCACTTCCCTCCGGGCGCGTGACAGCGTCGGTGGGAAAGGTTTGTTGTGGGTTTGCGCCCAATTCCCGCGGCCGAGGCTGCGGCTTCGGGACTGGCGCACAGACGCGAGCCGCGCTCCCCACCGGCCGCGCCCTCGGGTGCGTTGCGGGCGGCGCCGCACGCTGCAGCCCCGAGCCCCCGCGGAGAACGCACCCCCTTTATTTTGAAGGCTCTCTTAGTGTGTTAATTTGATTAAGGCAAATTTAGAAATCTTGGGCTGTTGCTAGAAGAATCTGCTTGCAGGCTTGTTCTTATTGGGGCATTTGCCCCACTTTCCAGAATCGCATAGTGCACGGAGCCAGGTGTCAAGCGTGAGTTACCTTGGCAGGACAGAACTTGATGGATTTGGTGTCCACGCAAAAAAGCTGGGAGAAGAAATGCGCTCCATTTCCCTAGCTGTGAAATGGGGATAAGAGTACTGGCCTCGTAAAGTTGCTGTGAGGACTGAATGATTTAATATGTGTGAGGTGCTAGCACAGTGCCTGGCGCCCAGTCGGTACCGCACGGGTGTTAGCGCTGCGTGGCGGGAGAAGAGCGACTGGGGTAGGGGTGCTAGGAGTGACAGATTGAGATGGGGCACCAGGCGTTTCTGAGTTCCATCTCCTTTCCAAGAAATGAGCGTTTGGGGAGGAGACAAGTCTCCACACGCAGTAAAAACACATGTCAAGACCTTTTAATCTTCCCGAATTGGTACTCAGACTGAAATTACTTTCGTGTGCAGTTGTTCCCTTTGGGTAATAATAATAATGCTTGTTGAGTCTGTAGTTTGTGCCCTTACTCTTCATACTAATTCTGCGGTAAAAACACCATTAATAAATAGCCCTATTTTACTGATAAGACACTAGAGGTCAAGTTACTTGTCCAAGATCTCACACAACTTTGTTAGTTCTGACGCCAGCAGAGAGCAGCAAGTGCAGTCGGATGTGTGTGCACATAGATTTGTGTGCAGTCAGTCCATGCGTCTTCTCCCATCATTTAGATTTGTGTTTGAGTGGAGCACTATCTCTTGAAACACAAGTATCTGTGATTAATTTAGGTGATTATATGTACTTATGAAGGTGCCGAATTACAGCTCCTTTGAAACTGGCCCCAAATAATTATAAATAGAACTCGGACTTGTATTAATATGGATCTTTATTAATTTCTTTTATTAATTTTCCAGACATTGTTGATCACCGTTACTTGGCTTCCTTAGGAAACAGCTTGGGGTTGACAAAGGAGGCAGGGAAATAATTCTTACCCCCTTAAGGGCTATTAAAATGAAATTGATTTCATGCCATTGTGTCAAAGGATGTTGCTATATTTCTTGGTGTTCTCTGCTTTTGGCTTTAATTCTGCATTGTTTAGTGTTTCAAGGCTTCAGCATATTTTTTTTTTTGTCCTTTAGTTTGTCTTTGTCAACTTTAATTTTTCCTGTTTTGATGGAATCCGACCATTACATGATGATAGCTTTGCCTAACAACTGTTGATTCAGCTCATGTTTTTAAATACAAAAATCACCAACATGCTTTTGAACCCCAGTACTTCAAAGGCAATCACTGGGGAATTTGTTGTTATTTTGAATATTAGTCAATAGGGGGCGCACAACACACTATTGATATCTATAAGGCCCATGAACCAGTTTTTAGAGTATTAAACATGCTTTTTGGAAGTGGAAAGTGCTGTGGCTTTATCTAGCAAAATAACCAGGTTGTTTTCTGAGTTGAACTTGATTTAATTTCAACTGATTAAAATAAGAATGACCTCAAGGATAGGGCCTAAAGGTTGGCTGGCTATATGTCAAGAATGCTATGGTGGCTGGACAGCTATTAAATACACACACATGTCGTTTTTTCAATTTGTTTTCCTTAAGAGGTATGTATGTAAAATAATTGAATGTAGTTTGAATAATATTTCAAGTTATCTAGGAGAACTGGCAACCCAGAGAAATCCATTGTGAATCCTTTTGTAATGATCCTCATTTGTCTTTTGTAGAAAACTGGATATAATGACTTTGTTCTCAGGGAGGTTGGTGTGTTCACAATCCTGTCATTTTCATCTTTCATTAACATCTTCCAAGTCTAAGACAATGAGGGATTGTTAATCCTAAATAATAGCTGTTTTATTATTGTGCATTCCTCAGAGGCTTATATTTTATTATAGCAATAGTTCAGAAGTATCATATTTATACTAGGATACAAGTGTCTGTGGACACTCATACTTACAAATATAAACAATATTTAAAAAGTAACATGCTTGGAAAAATCAATCAAACTGATTTTTAAAAAAGGTTTTCAATTTTTATCTTCAGTTTTGAGGCCAGTTTCCTTTCTTATTTCTTATGTATCATGTAGTATTGATTAACTTTATTTCATTTACCAAGTCAGGGTCCAATGGATCCTATTTTGAAATAACTTTCAAACTTAGTTACTTCTTTCTATTTTTTTTTTTTTTTTTTGAGACAAAGTCTCACTCTCTTGCCTGGGCTAGAGTGCCATGGCATCAACCTAGCGCACGGCAATCTCAAACTCCTGAGCTCAAGCAATCCTCCTGCCTCAGGCTCCAGAGTAGCTGGGACTACTAGTATGTGCCACCACGTCCAGCTAATTTTTTCTGTTTTCAGTAGAGACAAGTCTTGCTCTTGCTTAGGCTGGTCTCCAACTCTTGAGCTCAAGCCATCCTCCCTCCTCAGCCTCCCACAGTGCTAGGATTGCAGGCTTCTTTATAAATCTTAGCATTTCACTCACACTACACAATAGCGTTTTAGGATCTCATTTAATCTTCCATGCTCTGATCTAGTTTACTGATTCAGCAGACATTTATCAATGCCTGCCTCCCTAATAGGTTTACAGTTCCTGGTCTTAAAATTCAGCAAATTAGCTGTCCTCATTTAGTCCTCTGATAGCGGAGAGGCTTAAAGTATCCTAGGGTTTTCTCTTGGAAAGCCTTTAAGGATTGACAACATTGGTTCACTAGAAGGAAACTATTGTCCCATTCTTTTTTAAACTCCAAGGAATTACTCTTTCTCTTTTGCATGCAAACTTGGTTGTAACTTGTAAAAGTCAGGTGACTGCTTGTTTTTCTGAGGGCAGAATCTGAGCCTAAGAGCCCAGGGAACTCAACTGTCCTTTGAGTTCTAAGATGATCACTACTGACTTCTTTGGTGTATAAGTCATGACCAATTTCCTGGGATTATAAATCTGTGAAAGGTTTTGACTTTACATTTTAAGTTTAACAGACAGAACAGTTAGACATTAGAAAACAGCAGTGTAAGTCGTAACATTGCTTTAATATTTTTCCTGGGTAATTCTGCTCTGTGGTCATTTTGTATAACCCTGCTCTTGATAATTCATTTTGAAATATATTTTTTTCTGTTTTTTCATTGATATTGGATGAAAAATTATAATTGTTAGACTTCTTACTAGAGGACAGTCTTGTTTTTTACTCTTAACAGTTTTTTTAAAGTGATTTTATTGCCGTTTTAGTCAGTCCATTCGAACATTTTTCTTAACTTTTCAAACTTACTTAAAACTTTTTTTTTAATTTAAAAAATGCTAACTACTTTTTGAAATTTGCATAACCTGAGTAAGATAAATGTTTGTAGGAGTCTTTAACTTGAAAGCAATCTTGCATTGCCATGGGGAATATAGACAATTGGAATATAAGAGTGACTCTAGGTTATATGAAAAGCTAGAGTTTAACAAATAACAGTGAGCCTTTAACATATTGAATGAAGGTGTTTGTGTCATGGAAGAAAATTAAGTGCACCAAGATCCATAGCAGTAATTTCTCTGGTTCCACATCTTCAGAGTAACACTTGGAATGATAGCATTGTTTCTTTTGTGCCATTTCATAAAATACAAGCTGTTGCTAATTTGTTCAATTTCTAGTCAAGCTGAAATAAATCAACACAGCTTGGAAGGGCCTTACACAAAGGATCTAGGTCCATTTCCTGGGCTCTGTCCATTTCTAGATTTCTTGTTTTATATCTTTTGAAATAGCACATTTGTTTGCTGACATTGAGCTTTATTTTCTCTGCTTGCAAAGTTCTAACTTAAGATTTAGCACAGATTTCTAAGCATGCTTCTTCCCCAACTTGGAGAGTAATGATTTTGATCTCTTGCTCTCAACCAAGACGTGTGTTTGAAGCAACAATAATATAAATTCTGCATGAAGCTACTTTCATTTGGACTTTATTCATTCTTTTATTCTTCAATTTTCTAGGCCCAAGATCAAGGCCTAATAGGCTGACAACTACTTATGAGGGTTGGAGACCATATTTAAAAGGGAAGGCCTGGAACTAGAGCCCCAGAACCGTTCCTTCAGGCTATCCTAACATATCCTACTGAAGATAATTATGGGGGTGTTGGGAAGGTTAATGTCTGGGCTTTGTGCTGGTGATTCCTTTATGTTGAAATCTTCTTCCAGGCTGGGAAGAGGACTCAGTGATATGTAGAGCCTGGTAAAGTTCATTTTTAGCATTTACTATTAAATAGTTGCGGGATAATAATTTAGAATTAAGTCTGGAATGTACCTCTATCTCCACTTTAAGAAAAAGGATTATACAAGAAGCGTGTACTCTTCCCACCTCCTGGAGACTGGACTGCGAGT